AAAGTAAAACACAGTGAACAAATCTTTAGTTAAAATAACTCCATGTCTGACATAAATATTAATTCTGAAACAGTTGTATTGAGCATTCTTCACCTTTACTTGAGTTTATTTATAGAGCATTAGCTTATTTCCAGATGACGAACTTCTGGAAATAACAGTAATTTATCAAAGGAACTGGTGCTTAATGGTTTCCAAATTGCCTTCACATCCATTCATATGAGCCAGGTTGGGCAGATACTTTATTTATTGGTGAAAACATAGTGGCAGAAAGAAATGAACATGTGCAGAGGGCATATAGTGACAGGTGACATAGCTGGAAAGAACAGAGGTCTTCACATAGCTAATCCTTTTCTATGTCCTGCAGAGATGGATTCCCACACCACCCACTTAGAGGCAAACTACTGGGCAAATGCAACCTGACTCTGCTACAGTTATAGAAAACATGAAGAGTATGAACAAGTTTCAAAGTTGGAGAGCTTAATGCAGTTTAATATTAACATACAGTGGCATTAAACCAACTGCTGATTTTCATTGTGTCAATCATGTGATGATAATACTGCAAAATGCACTCTTCCTCTCAGACTGTTTACCAAAGCAGCAAAAACATGGGTGTCAAATTTCCATGAGCAAAAATGGTTTCACCTTGAGACACCAGTTATTCATGGCATACAGTGTTTTGAGACTGCTTTCCACCTGGATCAGTTAGTTTTAATGTTTCTTTTGGCTTATTCACTCATGGCTGAAGTCAGTTGATTTTTAGACTGTGGTTTCTGATTTCTTCTTTCTGATTTCTAGTCAGACTGGAATTGTCAAAGATAAGTTTTGACTGGTGTGGGGGTTGGCATAGTTTCTTTATTAGAGAAGAACTTTTCGTTTTCTGCAGAGATTTCCAGAGCTATTCTTAGTTCAGCATTTGATGAATGATATTCTGAGGTTCTAGCTCATGGATCAGGATATGCAGGCTTTGCAAAAACTGTTTCTAGAAAGAATTATGTCTGTTGAGAAGGAACCGAGAGAAAGCGGGCAGGGGAAGCAGAGAAATCACTTTAGGGAACTGGTGTGGGGCTAGATTCCAGCCTTGGCAGAAAAATAAAGGCTCAGCTCAGTTGAGAGAGCTGGTAACTTAAAGATTCCCGTGTTTCCAGGGTGGGAGGGTCCTGGGAGAGAGCCTTTATTCTTGGTCAGAGTGAAAACTGACTGTCACTTCCCTCGATCTGGCTTGTGCTTTATTCTATTTTTTTCTACCAGCCAAAATTATACTTGTTGCTAGGCATGTGACTTTGGCAGGAAAGTTCTGAGTCTCAGCTGTGTGGAGAATAGAGAAGTCAATAAGGGAAGGAGTGGGGGAGTTTGGGGATGGCACTCCATGACTCTTAGTGAAAATGAGCGTCCCCCAGAGGAGGAACTTCTGGTTCTACCTTTCCTTTCCTAAGAATACAAGTCTACAGCTTTTTAGTTATTAAATGAAAACATAACTTACAGTTGGCCTTAGCCCAGTAGGTGAACAATATTGTGCAGATGGGGAAAATAAATGTTTCCAGGTTCGCTGCGTGCAGCCACTAGAAGTCTGAAAATGAAATGTACTTTCATTTTGAAATGTGACTGTCAAAAGAAAGTGAGACCGCCGAAAGATGAGAGCTAAATGACACACAATTTGAAATTCAATAGACTCATGTCCCATTTTCTACAGAGCAAGCTTGAAACTGCCAGGCTTTAATGTACTCTGCCAACCTCTGAGAATGAGATCCAATCTGCAACAGATGTGGCCATACTCTGCTCTCTTGCTGCATATTCCTTTTCGTTTCTGGAAAAGTGCACAGACCCTGGGAAATATTCAATCATAAACTATTCGAAAGCTCCTTCCAGTTCTAAAATGCAAAGGCTTTAAATGACAAAATAACATGCTAAAAAAATTATTTCAGGCTCCCAAACACTTAAAAACAAATCTTACAGATATGTATTTAACCTGCACTAAAGAAAACTAGTAAGGGGCTGACTGAAGTTAAGATGTATCCAACTCCTTTTATTAGCAGATCACAGTTCCAATACTTAGGGTTAGCTGCTCAGGCCAATGAGCTCAATGTGTTTCTGTGACTTGTATCAATTACATGAGAAATCATTTTCCTACTTTGTCACATGTGCTTTAGAGATAAAGCTGACAGGAAGACAATGCAACTTTGACAATGCAACTTTGTAAACAAGACATATATTGATACTGGCAAGGATGCCAGAAATCTCTGTGTTCACACATGTTTACCCCTAAACAAGACTTTTGAAGTCATCTCAGAAATAGCTTTTATGGTGACTTTCTTTTAAAAAGCATACGAGGCCCTTCCTGGTGGCGCAGCAGGTTAAAGCACTGCACTAAGAAGCTTAAGCCAATTCCACATGAGTTCGATCCCCGCCTGCCCCAGAGGAGATCCACATGGCGTGGCAGACCTCTCCTGGCCTGCCCGCTGCTCCCCTCAGCAATGTACTTCATCGATCTGCCTGTTCTGCTCCCCACTCTGTTCCTGGTGAATCCTCTCACCCTCCGCATCTCTGGCCTGTACCCCAGTTCTGTATGAATAAATAAATCTTTCAAAAAAAAAAAAACCATATGAGAAGGAAAAGGATAAAGGGTACCTGTAAAAGCACAGAACACCGCTAATATTCATGGCCATGTCACTGTTCTAAGCCATCTCTGTTGCTTCCTGGAGTTACCTATAAGAACTTTATACAATATAGGGGCTGGTCCCCATTCCAGGAAACTCTGAACCATAAACCTGGAGTTGAGTCAGCTCTGTACTTTTGTGAAGCACAATGGTGATTTAGATGTTTAGTGAAGTGAGATCTACTGTACACTCTGCAGGGTGTGTGGAGTATACTAACATGTTACCAGGCACTCCCCCCAGATCAGAATGCCAGTCTTCGACTTCTGAGTGTTGGCCATGTGCAAACAGTGACCCCTTCTCAAGGAACTGCTTTCCATAGGCCGAAGGGCCTGACTCACCCAAGGTCATGTCCATTCCCTGGGATCAGCCTGCATCCAATAAATTATCATTGAGAGAAGGGGATGACAAAGGCACAGCCCATCACAGCCTGAATTTGAGGTGACCCCAAAGGGAGCTTTAAAGTAAGTGTCAATGAATTGGTGGTGCATGTATCAGGGGAAACATTGGGTCAGAAGTCCCAAGAATGGTATAAACTTATTTCTGCCTATGGCTGTTAGTGGCTTGGAAAAGTCACATCACTTCTTGAATCTCAGTTTTTAACTTGGAAAGTGGGGACAACAACAAAAACAATGACAATTACAAAATGATATGATCTTTCATGAAAAGTTGGGAAGATACAGTAAGATTGTAGATATAAATTGTGAACAATATAAAATTCTCATAGCTTCTGTTTTAAGGTGTTCTTATCTATAAAAATCTCCACATAGTATCTGAAAAAAAGTCAAAGTACCATGTAACAATATAAGTCAAAAATGTCTTAATGCCCAAATAATACGTACTTAATATTCTCTACTGCACCTGTTCAATGAACTGAAATAATAAAATATAATGATTTTGTTTGTTTGTTTTGCTGTTGTGATACAGAGCTAAAATCATCCACAAAATGAAATAGTTTTAAATGCCAATTCCAAGGGGTAGGAATAATTTTTCAGCAAATATTGCTAGAAAAACTGTATATCCATATGCAAAATCTGGACAGAAACAGCTCTTATAGTGACTTTCTTTTACTATAAGACTTTCTCTACCACATGGTAGCTACATATAATGTATGCACTGTATGTATCTACAATAGAATATATATTTTAAAAACTCAAAATGAATCAAAGACCTAAATGTAAGAACTAAAGTAGTAACATTTTTAGAATTCTTCAAAATTCTAACCATGGAGTTACCATATGCTTCAGCGATTCCATCTCTGGAGTAATGGAATCATCTAAATAAAAACTAGTACATAATTTTTATAGCAGATATATTCATAACAAAAAGTGGAAGCTATCTAATCTACCAATTAATAAATGGTTAAATAAAATGTGGCATATCCAGATAGTGACATATCACCTGGCAATTAAAATAAATTCAATATGGACACATTTTATAACATAAACATAAGAACATTAGATTATGCCAAAAAAGTCAGTCACAAAAGCCCACACATTCTAATGGCAAGGTCCAGACAAGAGAAAGCTATGGAGAAAGAACATAGGGTTTCTCTCTGTCGTGATAAAAATGTTCTAAAATTATTTAGGAAATGGTTACAAAATTCTATAAATATATTAGATATATATACTAGAGATCACTGAATTATACATGGTGAGTGAGTGAATTGTATCTTAACAAAATTGTACTTTAACAAAAGTGCTATTAAAGAAACAATTCTACAAACTAAAGACATAAGGTAGGCAGTAATAAGAATTTTAAACCCACAGAGAAAAGTAATTATTTTGCTTTGGTTTTTGGTTTTAGTGGCCAAATCTAATGCCTGGGAAAGGGACTTGTGAGGGTAATAAAATACCTATGCCTTGGAAAGACTCAGCTTCCCTCAAAAATAGACTAAAAAATTCTCAGCAACTAACTCAGACTGAAGGAACCAAGAACCTACTGCTAGCTGAACTAAATGCAAGCTTGCCAGCAAAAGGCAGTATTTTTTTTAAAGATTTATTTATTTGTGCATACAGAACTTGGATACAGGCCAGAGGCTCAGGGGCGGTGAGAGGCTTCACCGGAGATAGAGTGGGGAACAGAACAGGCAGATCGAGGAAGTACACTGCTGAGGGGAGCAGCGGGTGGGTCAGGAGAGGTCTGCCACACCATGTGGTCACCTCAGGGGCAGGTGGGAATTGAACTCATGCGGAAGCAGCTCCAGATTCCCAGTGCTGTGCTTTAACCCACTGCGCCACCAGGGAGGGCCGAAAGGCAGTATTTTTAAATGAGCTTTGGAACATCATTTTTACAGCAAACACAAATATTATCTGTGGTAATAACTCATACCAAAAATCAGAATGTTACCTGTGGGCTTTCAGTATCCTCTGGGCAATGGCATCTCCAACCTTGTTGAACACAACTTTGTCATCAGCACAGCTTATGAAAAACTGGTTCTAAGAGAAATTAATAGGATAATCACATTTCTTATTTTAGTGTGTATGTGTGTATATATGTATATGCATATGCATATATATACATATATCCAACTTGTTTATATATATATATATGTGTATATATATATAATCTAACTTACATACATTAATGTGGCATATATATAACAAAAACTATATTGCTATATTTGTTTTTTTAAAGTGTCATAAAACAGACATGTTCTAATTACTAAAATCATTACAGGAAAGAAAATGACAAAATAAAAAAGATCTTATCTCACTAGTTCTCATGCATTTCTAGATAATATCACACGTAAAATCGTCGTTAAGTAAATGGTTAAATGATTGTTTCATCATACAAATTCCTTTTATGTTGCGTTCTTAGATTAGGCACTTTCTAAATTTAATTGATAGGGAACCTTGATTTTTTTCAGTTTCACACATTATACAAGTGCTTATGATTAAAAGTTGTATATTGGCAAACATTCTATCTTATGCTAAGCTTCCTTTTTGTTTTGTAGGTAGTAGTATTCTGCTTTAATTTTCTCCATCTATTCTCATTTATTTTCTAGAATCTACCTTTGCCTTGCCTCATCTCATTTGTTTGGTTTTCTTATTTCTGAATTTCTATTTTGTAAGTATGTATATGTACACACATGTGTATGTATATAGTATATATGTGTAAGTATGTGCATATTTTTGTACATAGCAATAATAGTTTTTTCTTTATGTACTGCTGCTCTTCATGTATCTATTACATTGTTTAAAATGGCTATTATAAAAGGTGTAGCTGCTGCATAAAGGAATTGGGTGCAAGTATTGTAAATATTAAATATTCTATGTACATAATTATTACACTTGTAATTAATAAGGCTAACCATCACAAACAATCTTGACTAAATATCTCAAAATAGAATCATAAGCACAGATGGAGCAATATAACTGTCATCCTTTTAAACATTAGCATTTTATTACTGTACCCTTTCTGTGCTTAGGTACATGAAGCTGCAAGCTGCCTCTAGAAGACAAATTCGAAGTCTTTGTGCAGAAACTCATTTGAGAGTGTTTCCCCCTCGGGCATCAAACATCCAAATCTCAGTGGCAACTGAACCATGTTTCTGAATGTTACCAAGAAGATCAACATTCCTCAGCAGCTATAAACAGACCCTGGTCACATGCTGAGTCTTTGACTGCATTTTGAGGAGGGAGGAGTCTGACTGCTGCCCTCTACTCTTGGCTAAGGAGAGCCCAGCCAGGCTAGGGCCACAGCCACCAGTATCTACACAGCATTAATGGCATCGCTTAGTACTGTAGCAGCATTTCAAAGGTAAAGATGATGTTAAAAAAGAGATAAAGTGAAAGAATTCTGGTGAGGCAGTCACTACCATTCTACACTCTCATGGTATAGTTGATCAAACGAATGACACTAAAAGTATTAGTATTTCTGAACTCCAGACACTGTTCAGTGCTCACTAACTTTTCTAACTAATGTTCCTTTCCTACTGCATGAGTGCAACCAAAATTTCACACTGCATTTAGCCGAATATTTTTAATTAGCTTTCTTTTCTCTCCAAGTCTGTGAAATAAACTTCCAACTCTTTCTCCTTGGCTTTAATTAATGGAAGTGTAGAGGGTCAGGACTCAAAAAGACAAAAAAATATGTTAGAAGGCCTAATCCATTCCCTTCCACACATTAAAAGTATTCAACAGGAATGATAAGATTAAGACGGGAGGCATGTTCTGTTTTATTTTTCCATGATTTTTATCACAGACTTTTAATCTTAATGGATTTTCCAAATGGTCTCAAAAAGCTTAGAGCTACTCTGAAGTTCAGTTAAGGTCACCCAACTAAGCCAGGGTGCCCAGATTTTCTCCTATTCTCTGAACACAAACTCTGGGATTTAAAGGACTGTTATAATAATAGGGCTCACACAGGATTGAAGAAGGAGGTGTACTCACATCTTTCTTTCACATATTTCCCTTCCTGCACTCTTTATCACAACATCTCTAGTCAGTGGCATCCAGGGGTCTGGGTCTCTATTTTAGCATTTACCCCTGTGTGTGTCCTCCTAAACCAGCATATGCTGTCATACCTATACACCCCGACTCAAGCCAAATCAAAGAATATGCACCATGGTTGCATAATTTTGGTCTATATTACAGTCAGTTGATGCGTTTTAATATGGATTTGTGAGATTCTAACTAATGAAAATGCAAAGTGAATGTCAGCATGCCGGGAAAGGTTAAAATTGAGCTAATGAGGCCTCTGCACATATGGACATACATTAGCAGCTCTTGCGTGTATGTTTGTAGAAAGGCAGGTTGTCACACTATTTCACATGAGCAGGACTTACTTCTATGTAGATGTAGTGCTTGCTATTCTCTATCACATTGATGTAAGCCGTGTGGATGGACTCTTCATGGTACTTTATACCAGCAGACCAGTCAGCTGCAGAGCGGAGCAACTACAAAGAAGCAATCAGAAGCGATGAACAGAAGACAATGGGGAAGATATCAGACACATCACTATACGGAAGTCAATCCTTTTCTTTAAACTGCTGAATGATTACAGTGGCTTGAGGGTCATGTGTGGGCCAAGGGGAGTAGGTGAGTGGGAACGGGTGCTTGGACATAATCCATAACAAAGGCACCCAGTTGGAATTGTGTCCTGAACAGACCCCAGGATTATTTCCATTCTTGATAATTGGAAAGGACAAGGTATGCTTTCTTCAAAGGGTATTTCAGGAGTACCTCTGGGTGACTGAGAGGAGGAGGCTCATTTATACTTTTATATGACAGCTCCACATTTTTATGCCTGTTATTCTGGTATATTTATTTGTAGTATCACTTTAGCACTTGGCTTGAAACATATGATATGGCTACCCTAGATCTCAGCTGATAAGGTGATTATTCCACTTCCCCAAGAACATATTTTTCAGGTAACATATTCTAAAAGGCAAAATGATTTGGACATCAAATCTTGATTTTGCCTTTAATTAGCTGTCTGATTCTTGGTTTGTTCCTTCAGCTCTCAACTTTCTCACTCACACTGCCTCCTTCTATTCAGACTCTCACCTACCTGGATTATAATAAGAGCTTCCTGTACAGACACTTGAACATATGTTAATTATACCATGGTTCCAAACTTAACTCAATCACTGACTGGTTTTGACTGTGTTTAAGTTTCTTAACCTCTGTACCTCAGATTTCAGTTTTACAAATTCAGCAACAATTTTTGGGATTGTAGAGAGGATTAAATGAATTAATGTGAAGCATGCAGGAGACCTGGTACTAGCAAGCAATATATGTATTAGCGATGATTAACGAGAACATCAGAGGATGTACTTAAGCAGTAATGGGTCATGTCAGAGTCTCTTCAGAGCAGAATATGGCTGTGAATGGGAGAAAGACAACATAAAAGCCTTTTTTCCACACTAAGAAACTAAATGTTATAATTCTTATTGATATGGCAGTACAATGCTGGTACATAGTATGTGCTCCATAAATATTTACTGACTTTCCTTAGGCAATAGAACAATATCACAAAAGATTCACTATAAAAATACTTTTGGTATTACTGATTTGAAGTGAATAGTGAAATTGTCTTGTATGAGATGAACTGAATGGCTCATAAGTACTAGGAATACACAAAATGTTCTGATAGTTTTTTTTTTTAACTACATAGGAAAGATTTAGTAACTCTTTTTCTAATCATTAACCTTAAAATTGCATCTCTAAATCTCCTGAAACTCAAAACCTAGTACTTACTAAAATCATTGATTGTCTTTTTCTCAAAATATGTCTTTATTCAATATGTGGTATTTATAACAAAGTAGCTTTACTCAAAGTATTTAATTTCAGCAGGTGAATATATTACACAATGAAATTCGAAAATTTTTATTGCTAACAGGAATACTTACATGTCTCAAAAGGTAATTCATACAGAAATTTCAACAAATATGATCCACACTGGAAAAATACCTTCATTTCAAATCATGCCCAAGGAACATTATTGCTCATGAGAAGAAATAACAAAGGTTGAAAAGTAGAAATTTCAGTTCAGTCAGATTTATACTGAATTTTGTTGTCAAGGTGCATAGCCCTACAAAGACAGGCTCCCTAGAGAAGATTCTTATGTCAATCACATATATCTAATTCTATGAACTTTGAAAACTCTGTATAAAATTGTATGGTGGAAAGATAGGAACTCATGAAATCTATGTGATAGTTTCACATTAGCAAATTCTCCTTGGACAACTCATGTTAATATCACGAATACCCTGGTTGCTCCACAGTACAATTCCGTAACTTCCTGGTGGTGTAGTGGCTAGGACTTAGTGCTTTCACTTCCATAGTATAACTGAGATTCTGTCTCCCTCCCCAAACATTCTCATACACATACCTACTGTGAAGGAATAAAATGGCATAACAAACACAATGAGCTATAGTATGTGGCAGACAACTGATAGTCACCATATGGCATGTCCAGTTCTGTAAATTATGGGAAGCTTATATATCACCTAAGAAGCTATAACTTCTTAGTCTTCTCAAATCTAGAAACCTATTGTGAACTTTCTTTCCTTCAAAATTTGCTCTACCCAAAGGTTTAAAAACACATCTACATAAGACATAAATTAGGAGTGTGAAGCAAGTTTCAATTCACAAACCCAGTCTACTTGACTTCAATGGGCTTTGTGGACATCTATGTTGAAGGATTCTTGGAACAAGGTATGCTGGGAAGAAATCTAAGGTGGCCAATGGCTGCCAGAAGGTGAAAGCATGAACGTCACATCCTTCCTGTGAAGAATAATAGTAACTATTCCCCTTTACAGAGGCATTCAAATGTTTAAAATAGTAAATGTGTAAGCCAAACAAAGAACTTACTGTTATCAGTCAATGAGAAAGTATAAGCAAAAAGTGGAAGAGAAACTTCCTGATCCTGTACAGCCACAGAATGTGGGAGGTCACACAGCATCATCTACCCCCTTTGAGTCCCCACCACTGCTGTTTTTCCACAGTGAAAGCTCATTTAAATTTAAAAAGTCACCATATTTGGTTAAACTTCAATCTTTCTTTTCGGTAACACTATTTTAAATCTGCCTACATACTGAAAATAAGAATTTGTCTTAGTTTTGCCTCTACCCCTGAACTATTGAACCCCGATGTTATGCACAAGCCAACGAAAACCCTTTAAATGCTTTATAGTCTCAAAAGTTTGTAAACAGTCACATATTTTGATTGATTTCCTTTCGTGATCAATTTAAGATTTATTCTCTTCTTTTTCTTGACTGACCTGGACTACTTCGCTTGCATTTTTGTTGTAAAATAAATGTAGCAAAACAAGTCTCAAACTTCCCTCAAATAACAGAAGTGTTTTTGTTTCAGGATTGCTTTCATTCCTATATATTTGGTGTATATATTAATTTCTTATTACTTCCCCAAGTCAAACAGGGAAGCAAGACTGTTCAAACGAGCACTTTTTAGATGTCTCTTAAGCAGAAGTTGGCATCCACATAGAAGCTCACAAGTGGAAATGGGATGGAAGAAGAAAAGATATTCAGATTAGACTATTATTCAGTCTGGATTGAAACACAGCAGGCAAGCAGTATCAAGAAATGAATCTGGTCCAAAAATCTGCCTCATAACCTCAAATTCTTTCTTTAAATAAACACTTTTCTATAGCTGATTGTTATCCATCTGTATCACAGTATTGTAACTGTTCGAACAGGATGATCCTTTCCCCTGAACAATAGGGAAAAGTTAGTTGAGGCTGAAAGAGTACTTACTCTTCAGAAGTTCTAGGTGGGAGAAAAAAAGTATTACTGAGAACTCAAGGACGCGAGAAAGAAACAACAGGAGAATCTGGGATGGGTTTGGGGCTATAGCAACCAAAGATGATTTCAAAAGATAGCCTTTGTGATTGTGATCACCCCAGATCTTGCAGGAAACTGCCTCTGAGCTCCTACTGTGACAACCTCAGGCACCAAGTAGGACTGGCCTCAACCCCACCACTAATTCACTGTGTGCTGTTTTTCCCCCCACCATCCTTTAACCCCCTTTGACTCCCCCTCCCTGCCTTTGCCTTCTTTTAATCTCAGAAACTGCATTTCACTTATGTCTACTAATTTAGAATTATTTTTTACTTTGTCAGTTCATCTGCCACGATTCCTTGTTTTACTCAAAAACATGGACATGTTCAATATTTATCTTTACCTTTTTTTTTGTATAAAATCACAGATTTTTGATCCATATTCATCTCAAAAAATAAACAAGCAAAATACCCATGGTTACCCACAATGGCTTTATCTTGTGAACAGTCCTCTTCTCAGAGTACTTTCAGGGGAGGGGAAGGCACATGTGGATCATTTGGGTGGGGTTCTTGGTAGGCTGTGTCTGTGTCAGGATTAAGCTGATGGTAAAGTCCATGCATAGTTAATGATCTTCATTGCTCACCTTCATCACTCTCTTGGCTGTACCTTTTTGATTTACTTTAGTACACATAATTCCCTGGGTTCTTTTCATTCTACTGTAAATGGTGACATTTTGTCTTTCCTTATAGCTGAGAGTATTCTTTATGTGTATATTCCATACATTCTTAATACAATCCTCTATCAGTGGACACTTAGGTTCTTTTCATGTCTTAGCTATTATAAATAACTATAGAGCAGATAATTTTTTAGAGTTAGTGGTTACATGTTCCTTGGGCAGGTGTCCATAAGTGAGATTGTTGAGTCATATGTTACTTCCATTTTTAGCTTTTTAAGGTCGTCCAGAGCTCTTTCCAAAATGACTACACCATTTTCCATTGCAATCAAGGATGTAACGGGGGTTACTATTTCTCAATATCCTCTCCAGCATTTATGGTCGGTATTTTTTTTGTTGTTTAATATGCCATTCTAACTGGTGCTATGCTATATATATATATATTTTAATATTTAAAAGACTCAGTCCCCTCATCTGTAAAGAGAATAATTCAAACATGTGTACGCATTACAGGCATGGATGACAAATGAGAACCTACAGAAAAAGCTTAATAAAGGGCTGTATGACTTAGCCAGCCAAGACCACAGAACAAGCACAGGAATGTTACTACTTGAAGACCTGATCATTAGAAAAATACTTAGTGGCATTATTTCACCCTCATCTATCTAATCTATCACATGATAACACATTTTGCTTTCCTCTGAAATCTATATTGGCTTCTACTTTACACCCTTCAAAATGTCATTTGGACACTATTTCTACATGCAGGGAAAATTTTTTTCAGTAGTACAATTTGGACATCATTATATTTGCTTATAATTTTCCCTTTTTCTTTTTCTTTCTTTTTGACTTTTTAATAGAAAAAGAGAACAAAGACATGACACCAAAGGAATTATTTCCCTGAATTGGTAGGGCTTTTCAGCAAAGACTGCCTAAGGAAAGACTTTTCTACACTGAGCTGCCCAATTAATTTATTTTCAAC